ACATTCACACTGGCACTGATTTTTGTGTATGGGGTGAAACAGGGTCCATTTGCTTTTTTTCTGTGTGGATACTCCATTAGCCCAGCATCATTTTAATGGACAACTCAGCCTTTCTTCATTGCTCAGCAGGGCCATGTTGCCCTTCGTCATCTGTTTATGTGTGGGTCTCTTTCTATTATTTTCCTGTCCTTACCCTAAAGCCATACTATCTTACTTACTGTGCTTTAGAATACATTTTGATAACTGGGAGAGTTGTCAAACTCTCCCTTGTCTTCAAAACTGTCTTAGTTATTTTGACTTCTGCATTTCCATATATATTTTTAAAATGGCTTGTCAAATTATGTACACACACTCTCTCTTTTGGTATGTTGACCGAGATTCCATTGAAGTTCTAGATAAAGTAGGGAGAATTGACATCTTTATATAATAATATTGAGGTTTCCAATCCACAAATGGTATATCTTCTCATTGTTTTAAATATCCAATTTCTCTCAACAATGTTTTATAACTGCACAGGGTTTTTGCACATCTCTGGTTCGATTTATTCCTTGGATTTTGATATTTTATGTTGCTGTAAGGGGAGAACCAAGACCATCAAGCAGACAGAGGATTTCTTGCTCTTCAAGTAAATTGTATTCTTGTAGAAACTTTTCCATGCCATGTAAATATTATATTTTATTGCTGTAAAGTTGCTCATCATATCATCTTATAATCTTTTTCATGTTTTTGCAAACTAATAATGTATCCTTTCTCTTTCCTGATATTGGTTATTAGTGTTGTCTTATTTTGTCTTGTCTTGTCTGGGTTTATCATTTTTATTATTTGTTTCAAAGAACAACTTTGGCATCATTGACTATCTTTCTTGATTGTGTTCTGTCCCGTTAATTTATGGTTTTATTAATTAAACTTTATTATCTTCTTCCTTATTCTTTCATTGGGTTTATTTTACTGTTCCTTTTATACCATTTTGGGATAGATGCTTAGTTTGTTAATTTTCACCTTTTCTTTTTATAATACTGTAGATGCAGTAAGGCTATAAATTGCCTTCTAAGTACTGATGGAGCTGCAAATGACAAGTTTCAATATCTACTATTCTCATCATCATTTAGTTCAAAATATTTTCTAATTCCTATTACAATTTAATCTTTGATGCCCGTGGGTTATTTAGAAGTGTAATTTTTAGTTTCTAAACATACGAGGATTTTCTAATATTTGTTGGATTTGCTAGTTATTTGATGTTATCAATTTCTGGCTTAATTTTATTTTAGTCAGAAAATATACTCTTTGTGATTTCAGTACGTTGGAATCTGTTAAGACTTGCTTTATGGTTCAGTATGTAGTCAATTTTTGTCAATGTTCCCTATGCTTAAAAAAATGCATCTTCTTCAGTTAAATACAAGATTCTTTACATGTTAGTTAGGTCAAGATTGTGAGTCACGTTGTTCAAATCTTCTGTGTCCTTTTAATATTTTGTGTACTTGTTCTATCTATTCACAAGAGACAGTTTTGAAGATACCTCACATAAGAGATCCAGAGGAGGTTTGTCCATTTGTCTTTCTTAGTTAAGTTCTGCTTAATATGTTTTGAGGCTGTTATTAGGTGTGCCAAATTTAGAATTGTTATACCTTCCTAGTTGAACTTTTTGTCAATACAAAAAGACTTCCCTTATCCCTGGTAATGCTTTTTGCCTATTTTGCCTGGTGTTAATATAGCTACATCATATATAGTTGCCATAAATACATATATCTTTTTCTGTCCTTTTATTTTTAACATTTCTGTCTCCTAATGTTTTAGATATATCTCTTGTGAACAAGATATAGTTGTTTTCTTTAAAAAAAAATCCAGTGACATTCTTTGTCTTTTAATTTTGGTATTTAATAAATTATATTTAGCATTAATACTGATAATATTTTAATTTAAATTTTCTATCTTCTTTGTCCTGCAAGTCCTAGTTTATTTTTTTCTCCTTTATGGTCGTCTTTTAGAAACTATAGGAAGAGACCCTCAGAGTTTAGAGATGAGATCCCCTACCCCTAGCCTGGAATGTAACTGGTAAAAATCCACAAGTGTCCACTGAGCTAATGGAGTCCCCTGCAGAAGGGACCACTCAAAAGATGGTTTGTGTGTGGCTGGCAGAAGCTAGAACTGGGCTCTACACAAGGGAACCAGCAACCTTGGCTACTCCTCAGAGGAACCCAGACTCCCTGGGCAGGATCTGCAGAGTCTATGAAAACAGAGAGCTGGAGAGTAAGTCGGTAGAACGTTCCCCAGTGGGCGGGGATGGGTGTGCTGGGGCCAGCACTGTTCTCAGGAGAGGTGGACTTCAGAGAGGACCTCCGATAGAACCGCAGCCCTCCCCTTCGCCATGTCCCTCTGCTGACGTTGCAGGCTCCTCCGCGACCTGCTCTCCACGCTGTCCTCTCGCCCCCACATGTGGCGGTACCTCCACTTTACCAGGAGGATGGGAGCAGGCAGACCTCGCAGAGACATCTCTCTTCAGCTATTCTTAGCCCCTTCCCTTCTGTCTCGGAGAAAAAAACACCCCCCCTCCTCCCTTCCGAAGCCAACCACTCCATCTGTACCCTTGTCCCTATAGCTGAATTGATTTCATTCCTTATCAGTCTTGTTCCTCCCCTAGCCAAAAGCATGCTCAAGTCTCTCTCCTAAGTTAGATTAGGTTTCCCACTTTTCTCTCTGGAAAAAAGACATTTTCACTTTCTGACTTTCTCACGTTTTTCCTCATCCTGTACATCTGATCAGTCACCAATTCCTACATATTTTATCCTGAAAGTTTCTCTAAGTCCTTTTTCTCCTCCGCATTTGTTTCCTTACTCTGTGTGTGTCATTGGGCAAGTTATTTTAACCCTATAAGCTTCAGTTTCTTCTCCTTAAATAGGGATAAGTTTCTTGTGACAAATATGGTAACTGAGGATAAATTGCCTAGCATGGTACTAGCACATAGCAGGGGCTCAAAAAATAATAATAATACCAGTGCCTTGTCCTTGTCTTTTAGCTAACTCCAAACCACTCTCAGTAATGTCTCTTAAGTGATCTCCTGAAATAAAGGACCTGACTTTGCTGCGGCAGACAGGACACCCTGTTGCTCACAGGACAAAGTCCGAATTCTGAAACGTGCCTTACAGACAGGCTCTTCAGTCTACTTCCATGCAGGAGGCCACGGTCACACTCCCGCCACCCTCACTGTGCACACTCGTCACACACATATACTCCCAACCTACTCCAGATGCACGCATGCACACCTACAGGCCTGAGTACACACATGTGTGCACACACGTGCACCCAAACACACATGCTTCTACGCCTTTTAGACCCAGGAGGCACTGCAACATCATCACGTCTTTGTTTCTTTGCACTCTCTGTCTGCTGTGTCCTTCCCACACCTGCCCACACGCTCCCCTTCGAGACCCTGCGGCCCCCACCATCTCTGTGGAGCTGTCACTAAGTCTGTACCCGGAGGTAGCCCAGCTCCATTCCACACTCCTTTCTTTCACATCTAATATAATTGTATGTTGCAAATCACTCTTCCTCACTAGCCTGAGAGCTTCTAAAAAGGGTAAGGGATGAAATGTCATGACTAGATTTCATTCATCTCTGTTTCCTCCCAAAGCCTGGCTGGCCTCTTGCTCAGCGCAATGACTATTTGAGGAATTTAATCAAAAGGGTTGATTGCTGGCTCTGTGCAGGTCAGTAGCTTTCCAGGGTTTTGTTCTCACCCATGGAGAGAGAGATGAAGGAGGGGAGGCTGTGGGGCTCCCCTAGCCACGGGGTAGAAGGGTGGGAAGGGGAGCATGCAGCCGGAAGAGAGACCCGTTGTCAGTGGGGCAGTCAGCCCTGCCTATTCAGGATGGCAAAGTCGTGGTGTCATTTCAACATTGAAAATGCATTCATTAGAAAGACATCGTCATTGACCTGCTGGGTGACAGGGCACATGATAGCTTGGATCTAGTGCATTAAACTGCATACCGAGAGATCTCTGGTTCAAATCTCCATGCCCACTTCTAACTCATAATTTTATTCATTCAACTGTTGTTAAACATTGCCATCCTCTCCCCAGGTAAGGGAGTAATAGTGATGGAGACCACAGACCTTCTGGGCCAAGGCAAGGCTCCAGCTCTGAGCCTTGTCTGACCAGGAGCCCCAGGCATCCAGTGCTGTACCAACTTCCAGGGGCCTTGTCCCTCTGACAGCCCCGTGGCTCTCCCCAGGAAGGCAGCAGATCTGTTGGAGACTGGGCCTTTGCTCCCACAGGCTAACACGCTACAAGGCCTGCAGGAGCCAGTGAATGACGTGGCCTTGGGAATGGGAGAAAAAGCAGCAACAAGAGAAAAATCCAAAAAGAGAAACATGGCGGATGCATTACATGCCGAGCAGGTGCTGTGTGAGGCTCAGAGGAGTGGACCTTGGGCCTGCAGCTGTGGGAGGCATAGGCCCTGAGCAGGACGTGGGGCCCCACAACCTGCCTCGCCCTGTCTCTCAGCTACACCGTCTCTTCCCCCACATCCAACGCCCTCAGAGTTGTAAGTGACAGTGAAATATTCTGTCCCCAGCCACATACTAGGCACCTCCACCCCTTGAGCCACTGCAGAAGTTGCTCTTGCTGGCAGAAGCGCCCAACGCCCTAACTAGCCACAGGTGATGCCGGTGCAGCCAGTCTGCCAGACTGGTGGTGGTAGCAGGAGGTTAAAGTCCTTTCCATTGCGTATGCCCAGGCCATTTTGGCTTTGCACCACCTGTAAAACTTACACGATGGTTAATGGGTTTGAGCTGGTCCCATGATTACAAAACCAGTGCCTTTAGTAGACACTGTCCAAAACAAATAGTTCAATGGTAAAAGCCACCACCTGTTCATTTACCTGAGGGTAGATTTTTTTCAGCTAAGAATAGCAACAGATGTTTGAATCCTAGGCATCGTTCTAAGTGTTTTAAGTTCTCATACAAAACCCTATGAGGTGGTACTGTTATTGTCCTTCATTTTACAGATGCAGACACTAAGGCACAACAGAGATCGAGCAACTTATGCAAAGTGTCACTCAGCCAACACACCCCATCGAGCATACAGGAGGCTCTGCCTCTTGGAATAAAAATCAGACATCCCACGGGAACTTCTGAGGTTGTCCTGTCGCTGCTAGATGTATGCAAGGAACAAGTCATCTTCGTAACTCCGCAGCACGGCAAACAGCTCGGCACCTCCTCCATAGACGACGTTCAGTGACTAAATGACTGACTTCGCCTGTAACCCTCCTGACTTCCTCAGTCTCCCCCAAGTCTTCACCTCCAAGCTGTGCTTGTCCTTGTTAGCGCAACCTCATGGGACTAACATCTCCCCACCCCCAAACTTTAGCCTACCAGTGGGGAATCTGGGAATTCAGAAATGCAGCTTATCACTCAGTGGCTGATCCTGGACCAAACCAAGCACCGTTTCTCCCTGACGGAGACATGGGATGGAAGCATGGAGCCGTGGCACAGGGAGGTTGGAAGGGCTATCCACCGAGCACTTGCTAAGACCTGCTGTGTGTACAATGTACTAATAAGGTGAAGATCCCAAGGCAGGTCAGGCTTTATGGCATTTGGGTGATTATAATGGGATTGAAGAGGTAAACCCCAAACACATGCAAGGAACATCAGTGTGGCCCTATGTTCATGCCTACCTAATACATAAAAGGGACATCAGTGTGACCCCATGTCCATGCCTACCTAATACATAAAAGGGACATCAGTGTGCCCCCATGTCCATGCCCACTTAACGCATAAAATGGACATCAATGTGGCCCCATGTCCATGCCCACCTAATGCATAAAAGGGACATCAGTGTGGCCCCATGCCCACCTGAGATGCACATGGATGAAGTTAGCTACCAAAATTCCAGGTAAGTGTGAACTAAAATAAAATCTCAAGCTCCTCCCCAGCTGACTGAATGGAGCCCCCTCTTGGCCAAGGGAATACCCTAAAACTGAATTGCTAGCCATGAACAGGGAGGTCAGGCACGCCTCATCATGCCCTCTCCCTTCTTGTAGATATCCTTTGGGTCTGGTAGATATCCTTTGAGTCTGGGTGAGTCTGGGTATGTGTTTTCCATTGACATAAGTAAGGGGGCACCTGGATTTGAACCAGGGACCTCTTGATCTGCAGTCAAATGCTCTACCCCTGAGCTATACCCCCACAATGACCATATTACGGGGTTGATATATTTCACCTGTATGGAAACACTCAGCTCTGAATAATTAAATTATAGCTCCCTTCAAGGACTTACTTTCTGGAACGTGCCAGACCTGACTCCTAGCAAGAAACTTTCCCCCAGCTCAGCAGTTTTCCAGGCCTGCCCTGGGTGGAGTCATCAGCAGGAAGAAGAGAGAGAAGCTGCCTGCAGAACCCCAGCCCATTTCCCATGGCCTTTCTGGGTTAGTCCAAGAGCTGGCCAACAATTGCCAGAAGCATCCACAGGTTCCTTCCTGGGTTCCCAGGCCCTTGCCCGTCCTCCTTCAGTGAAGACAGAGTGGCCTATAATTCAGATGCTGACACAGAGCTCCACAAGTCACGGTCTGTAGGAACAGCACTGCAGACCCCCATCTACCTTGTTAGAGTAGATAAGCCAGGCTTTGCCTGGGAGGTTGAGGCAGGTGTATGAGTGAGCACTGGTGCGGGAGAAGTCGGTTCCCCAGAGGAAATGTCCACATGGTGGGAAGCACCTGGATGCTGCCATGTGTCTCCCTAGGTCTGGCCACAACTCCAGGGCACCAAACTGCTTCAGTGGGAAGTGGGAGAGGGTGATAACAAGGTTACCATTCACTGTTCCTGCAAGTCTGCCTTGTAAAAACCCAGAAGGATTCTGCAAAACAGCCCCTGCCTTCTATTTGAGAATCCAGTAAGTTTGAGAAATTACATACATGCAGGAGGCACAGGGGAGGCAGACACCATGAATATGAGATGCCCACAGTACTAGTGCAGGAAGAGATTGGAAGAGGTTATCCATCCAGATTGTAGCTGTGCAAGGGCTGACCTATCGCTTCTAGTTCCAGGGAGAATCATGATTGGAATGGATGAAAAGAAACTCAAATATGACCAACAGCTTCTGTGTGGAGAAAAACTGTGGCAGGGGGCACCTGGATTTGAACCAGGGACCTCTTGATCTGCAGTCAAATGCTCTACCCCTGAGCTATACCCCCCTGCTTATTGTATGTGTCTAATAAGCACCTTTCACCTTTATAGTCACACTCAGCACTAAATATAGCACATTGGAAGTTTCTACTTCTTTCTAGAGCATTGGTAAGACCAGCATCTGATTCTTCCACAAAGTCAACCAGAAAGGTCCTTCCCCAAACCTCTGGGTCCCCAAACCCTACCCCCTACTCACAGACCTACATATCTCGCCTCTTTTCCTCAGTCTGTGGTGACAGCAATGGCTGGGAGAAGCAATGAAATTTACACTGGAACAGCATCTAGGATGTACATGCCTCTTGTTATACACTACAAAATAGCAATTTGAAGAGATCTTGCCCAACCTCTTTCATGAAAGATGCAGTACCTACATCTGAAGATAGCACTCAGTCTGTGAATCTGTACGTTAAACTCTGTGCATTAAATGGTTGGGGTAGTTGGTGAACTTCCCAGGCCCTGGCTTGGATCAGGGAGTGGTGCATGGTGCCATGTTGTCTCTGTGTAGGGAGGACACATGGTGCCTCTGGATTTGGGCCAGGGAGCTCTAGCACTGCAGTAGAAAGCTCTGCCCTGAGCTTTCTCCTCCATTCATAGTACATGGATACTCCTGAATGAGTATGGATACTCCATAGTACATGGATACTCCATGAATGGAGTACTCCTCCATCCATAGTACATGGATGTTTTTAATGTTATGTATATTTTTGTTTTTATCAAAGTATCTTGTACAATTACTTTTAAAAGCTAAATATTGTGTTTAAAGCTTATAATTAAAAAACCTCAATCCTTTGTATTTCCCTCCTGTCATCCAGAGGCAGCCACTCTTCACTTTTTTGGCTGTTTCTTCTAGTCTGTTTGCCTCTTTGGTTTTAAATATTAATAATATAAATATGTCATAATAGTCTATGCCTAATTTAATCAGATTTCAACATCAACTGACTTAACTTCTGTAGATGAGGTTTATAACTCATGTGCCTTCTTCTCAGTTTTCCAATATGTTTACTGTATATCTCAGCTTTTGAGGTAAAATACTGTATATTTACTTTCTACTTGTTTTTCTTTAGTTTCCACATTTTTATCATTATGACCAGTTATGAGTGTGCATGGCTGATCTATGTAGTGCTAAGTAGAACTAAGAGTTCTGGTAGAACTTTTTGTTTTTCCTGGAGTTAGTGATAGCCTCATGTTTTCAACCACTTAGTTTTCTTTGAATATCTAAGACTTTTCACAACCTTTAATTGCTCCATAAAATGCCTATCAAAATGATTTTGCACGCTGTGAAAGCTATCAGATACGTAATATTTCCACTCCTTGTTTTCCAGTAGCTCTCCACCTTCCTACTCTCTCTGCTCTGGTCGCCCCGGAAAGCCTGCTGCACAGAGGCCCCGGGGCTTCCTTCACCCTCACCAGTTCCTCCTTTCCACCTCTCTCTCCCACGGGGGAGGACACCTTTCCTGGATTCCACGTCCTGTGTGTTTCTTAATTTGCCCCACTCTGGCAGAGGGCCTCCTCCCATTGCTTTCTGCAGATGGCAAGTGGAAGTAAATTTTTTGAGACTTTGCATGCCTGAAAATGTCTATAATTCTCCCCACACGCTTGACTAGTAGTCTGCACGGGCATAGATTTCTAGTTACAAGTCATAGTCCTTCATGTTGTAAAAGCTTTCTCCTAATGTCTTCTAATGTCTAGTATTGCCATTGAGAAGTCATATGCCACTTAAGCTTTTAAGATCTTGTGTTTTGTCTGTAATGACACTACGTGAGGATCGTGTTTTCATGTGTTATGTTGGGTACTCAGAAGATCTTTTCTGGCCGGGCGTGGTGGCTCACGCCTGTAATCCTAGCACTTTGGGAGGCCGAGGCGGGCGGATTGCTCAAGGTCAGGAGTTCGAAACCAGCCTGAGCGAGACCCCGTCTCTACCAAAAATAGAAATAAATTAATTGACCAACTAAAAATATATATACAAAAAATTAGCCGGGCATGGTGGCGCATGCCTGTAGTCCCAGCTACTCGGGAGGCTGAGGCAGTAGGATCGCTGAGCCCCGGAGATTGAGGTTGCTGTGAGCCAGGCTGACGCCACGGCACTCACTCTAGCCTGGGCAACAAAGTGAGACTCTGTCTCAAAAAAAAAAAAAAAAAAAAAAAGAAGATCTTTTCTAGGTGATACCCATGTCCTTTCATGGAGAGTAATTTTCTAGTATAATGTGCCCTCATCATTTTCTCTTTCTGGAACTTGTATTAATTGGTTTTTATACATCCCTGTTTCAACTTGTATGTTTATTACTTTTACTTGTAGTATCTCTTCCTTCGTCTTTTTGTTTTGTTTTACTTTCTGGGAAACTGCCTCAACTTTATCTTCAAACTGTCTATTTAATTTTTTATTTCTTCTAGCCTTTTTTTCTTGATTTCTAAGAGTTGCTTCTTGTTCTATAGCTGACCCTTTTTTATGTAGCATCCTCTTCTTGTTTCATAGATGAAATATTCTCTCATATTCCTCTCAGGATATTAATTAGTTTCTTTGAAGTTTCCCTCCCTTCCCAGCCAATAAAGAGGTGGACCAGTAACCTGCAGTTCTGCCCACACAGAGATAATGACTCATCCTATTCTCTCTTCTCAAGATGCTTAACACAACAGACATGGAGAAGGAGAAGAGGAGCTCACAGCAGAAGAGAAAGCTGAAAAGATGTGCAAAGAATGGCCAGAAAGATATGGATATGTTGAAGTGGTTAGTGAGCAGACACCACGAGGGAGGTGGTGCAGAAGTTTGTAGAGGAGCAATCAAGCCCCTGACCAGGAGGGAATCAGTGGGCTCCTGTTGGGGAAGGGGTGGCCTGTGCCTGAGTCCTAAAGCTTTGTCGGTGTTGGCAAGAGCCACAGCCCAGGCCCCATACGCCCCAGGTACCTGATTATTTCTGGATCCCCAGGAAAAGTCCATGTCTCCTGTTTCATTTTCACCACACACCCCCACCTGGGAAGGAGCCTGAGATGCTGTATTCAGAGTGACCAGCAGTGATGTCGTCAGGGTGGGGACTGGCTGCCCACTGAGGTGAGGCCCCTAGGCAGACTTTCTGTGGTGTTTGATTTCTTACCCCACTCCCCAAAGCCACAATTTCAAAAACTGAACATTATTTCGTAACTCTAGGTCTTCCCGATGACAGGACTATTCACCTCTCTAATCAGGGCTCCCCTCCTCACATCGGGACAGGCAGGAGAGCCCGTGGTGAGCTGACGTGGGGCCAGAGGTGGCTGTGCAGACTCTGGAGCACTCACCCCGGCAGGGCCAGAGCCCCCGGCCTCCGCCTGGCCCACAGCAGGCCCCATCCCGGGGTCACTCAGGTCCTCCTAGGATGGAGCAACACAAAGTCACCATACCTTCCCCCTTCGTATATGTTTCTAGCCAACCACAACTTTCCATAGATCACAGTTCCCAGTGGTCATATTTAGTCCAGAAGATGCCCCATCATCTTGATTAAATGTAGGCTCGTGCTAGGTCTCCTTCAGCAGCACAGGTGCGGAGGGCCCCAACTGCCAAATTCTCAGAGGGCGAGCTTACCTCCAAATTACTGTAGCTCCCTGGGTACCAGAGGATCCCAGATGCAATCTGGGGAAGTGGTTCTCACTTCTCCATCCACCCTCCCTCCAGGAGGCCAAGGACTTCAGGCTTCAGAAGTCCTGCTGAAGTGGCCAGAGAAGGGGGCTGGAAGGGGAGTAAGGAGGCCTTTAGCCATGGGGCAGGCCTGCTAGTAACCGAGCCACTCTGCGAGAGTGATGCAGGAGCGACAGGCAGCAAGAGCCCGGGCCCAGCTTTGAGGTCAGAGATACGACGTGGCCAGAGCAGGTCCAGGGTGCATAGCTGAGTGCAAGCTAAGAGGCCTTCAAATCCCATCTGTTGCTGTAAAGTCCCAATGAATGCAGCTTCCCAGAGACTCGGGGCTTACTGCAAAAAGAAATTTGTGTGTTCTGGGCCCTCAGAAAAATAAAAGTAAATTAAATTGTATCACCCAGTGCTCCTCCAAAGGAGAAAGGGCGGTGAGCTCGGGTGCAGTGCTCTGCTCTTTCCCACCAGGCTGGATCAGAGAGGCTTGCCTAGAGCAGACGCCGCTTCTCCCTGGCCTGAGGGCCTGTGGAGGAAAGTCGGTGCCCACGTGCTGGGCTGCCTCAGCCCCACAGGCCTCCTCCTAAGCTGTGCATGGGGGTGAAGGTGTTGGTCTAGGAGGCTCCCCTTCCTGGATGGGACCTAGAGAGCAGGTGACCCAGGTGAAGTAGGGCAGAAGGGAGGGTGCAGGGCAGGTGCTGGTGGGGAGCCAACCAGCGAGTGCCCCTGTGACAGAAGACAGTGGATGCAGAGGGCCTGGGGGAGAAAGAAAACCTGGAGGGCTGAGAAAGGATGGAGGGCGGCCCTGAGCACAGTGCACAGAACCAATTCTAAGCGTGGCTATAAAGCCCTTCTGCTCTTGGCCTGCTGCCTGCACCCCTTCCCCTCCCTCCCCGCCCAGCTCCTGGGCTCCTTGTCCTCAGGCACAGCACCGGCTCTGGCACTGTAGCCAGGTAGGGGGCACCTGACTATGGGCGGCCCTGCTCGTGCTCCTTCTCTATCGGCCTTGCTCCTGCTGTACTTGTGCAAGAGCCTGGCCAGGCTCCCTGCATGGGGCTCCCACCTTCCTCACTCTTTAAAACTTGCAAAGGAATTGATTTGCCCATAAAATATAATGGTATTTGTCTCTTAAGCTAATATTTTATGGGAATATGCAGGTTGCAGCTACAATTATACATATATATATGTATGTATGTATGTATATATATATATATATATATATATATATATATATATATATGGAGAGAGAGAGAGAGACTGACTCACTCTGTTGCCCAGGCTAGAGTACAGTGGGGTCATCATAGCTCACTGCAACCTCCAACTCCTGGGCTCAAGTGATTCTCCTGCCTCAGCCCCCTGAGTAGCTGGGACTAGAGGTCTGGGCTGTCACACCTGGCTAATTTTTCTGTTTGTAGTAGAGATGGGGTCTCGCTCTTGCTCAGGCTGGTTTCGAACTCCTGACCTCGAGCAATCCGCCCGCCTCGGCCTCCCAGAGTGCTAGGATTACAGGCATGAGCGCGCCTAGCCGCAACTTTTGAATTTGATCTGCACTTGCATATTATATGCCTGAAAGAAAAGGAAAAAGAAGACTACAATAAAAGGCCTGCCTGAATCCACACATCACCTTAATAACATGCTCATGGCTAGATCCATGCTTCTATAATAGTTCCGGGACTTTGCATTGCCCCAGCCCAGGAGAGGACTAGATTCTTTCCCACCCACTCTCTGCTTCCTTCCCACCAACTTCCCCTCAATCTGCCAGATGACATGAGGCATTCTGAAGGTGCCATTTGGTGTTTGTTGAGGTACTAAAAGTGAGCTCCAGGGGGCACCTGGATTTGAACCAGGGACCTCTTGATCTGCAGTCAAATGCTCTACCCCTGAGCTATACCCCCTCAGCTTCTAAGAGAGTCTAATAAATACCATTTCACCTGTGTTGCAACACCCACACCTCCTGTGCCTCATCACTGTCCTTCACTCATGCTTTTCAGTTCTGCATTCAGCTCAGATGCCATTGTACATTGTCATAACCACTTACTTGCATACTCCCTCAATGTCTTTGTCCTTTATTGTATGTGCCCAGCAATAAATCAACCCTGGTTAGTCAGTCTCTCCACCTGCTGTGTGCCCACACTTGCCAGCCCATTGTGGCTGGAGCAAAACACAACAGCACTGACTGTTCTCACTTCAGACTCGTGACCAGCAAGCTCAAGTAGGCTCTTCCTGCTGCCTGCTGGTCAGTCGCTGGTCCAGTGACTTTCCCACTCTCTTAGATGAATATTTCATGCTTTCTCGTCTCTCCGAACCCTCAACAGCTCCTCTCCCATCGTCAACTTGCTTCCGACTTCACTGAGAAAATAGAGGCAAGATGAGAAGCCGTCCACAGGCCTCTACCAGGACATCTGCCCACTTCCCAGGATCTGAGCCCATCCACCCTGCCTCCCCCTCGGTCACCATGGGTGAATGGTCTGTGTTCCTCGCCAAGGCCAACCCCCCGCTTGTATGCTGCATCCTCGCTCCTCTGGCTGGTCAGAGACATCTATTCAGTAACCCTCTCCCTCTTTTCGTGCAACTGATGCAATTCACATAACAAACAACCATTTTAAAGTGTGCGATTCAGTGGCATTTAGTGCACTCACAATGTTGTGCAATCACCACCTCTCTCTAGTTTCAAAACTTTCTCATCATCCCAGAAGAACACCTTATACCCATTAATTACCTTAATTAATTCCCATTCTCTCTCCTCCTATCTTCAGGAAAGTATTAATCTACCTTTTGTCTCTATGGATTTACCTATTCTGGATATTTCACATAAAAGAAATCACACAATATGTGATTTCTGTGTGTCTGGCTTCTCTTCCTTAGCATGATGTTTTCAAGTTTCACCCACGTGGTGGCATGTGTGAGTACTTCATTCCTTTTTATGGCTGAGTAATACTCCATTGCATGCATGTACCACAGCTACGTATTCATTCATTCATGGACGGACGGACGTTTATTTGGCTGGTCTCCACCTTTTGGCCACTGTGAGTATTGCTACCCTGAGCATTCACAAGTCAGTATGTGCTTGAGTCCCTATTTTCAACTCTTTCACATATATACCTAGAAGAGGAGGTGCTGGGGCATATGGTAAGTCTATGTTTAACTCTTTGAGGAACTGCCAAACAATTTTCCATAGTGATGGCACCATTTTACGCTCCCACCAGCAATGCACAGTGTCCTTACTTGTCATAGTGAATGCGAAGTGGTGTCTCACTGTGGGTTTACTTTGTATTTCCCTAGTAACTAATGATGTTGAGCGTCTTCTCATGTGCTTGTTGGACATTTGTATATCTACTTTGGAGAAATGTCTATTCAAATCCTTTGTCATTTTTTAATTGGATTATCTTTTTGCTCTTAACCCTCTTCCTTTTGCGTCATTAATTTTCTTCTTCCCCCCCTTCACCGCCCCATCAGTCCCATTATTGTATAAACATTTTCCTGTTATGTCTCTCAGCAACAAAATTCTCCAATCCCTGGCCTCCCCCTGACTACTACCACATTTCTCTGCTTCTGTTTGCAGAAAAACTCCTTAAAAGAAACGTGTCTACCCACAGTCTACAATTCCACTCCTTCCGTTCTTTCTTCAGCCCATTCCAATCAGGTTGCTGCACTCCTGCAATCCTGCTCCACTGGATTTTCTCTTGTCCAGTCACCAACAGCTTCTATGTCTTATAGATCTTTCCTACACCTCATACAACCCATTACAAAATTCTGCCAACTTTGCTTTGCAGGGTCACACAAATACACACACACACACACATACATGCAGGACAGTGGGAGCAATTGGAAAATCCCTCTCCTCACCCACTTTGAAAGGCGGATTGGATTGAAAGGCCTGACAGTCTCTGACACACATGGCAATTGGGCTGGGGAGGCAGTACTGCCACACTAAAAGGTGAAATGCACAGGTGAAAGGTGAAAGCCTGCAGAGGCCAAGCAGGTAGAATGAAGTCAACACAGGGAAGACAGTTTGAAACAATCCATGTTCCATGGTTGACTCAACCAGGCCTGGGTCCTTTCTTCCTTCCAGGTGGACTCTATATCCTGAAAGGGAAATCAAGGTGGAATTCCACGCCAAGGTTGGGTTACAAAAGCTGAGGGAAAAAGAGAAACCCCTGGATTTGAACCTGCTTGACCTGAAGCCAAATGCCCCACCCTTGAGCTACACCCCCATATGTATCAGCTTTCTTGAATAAACACCTGTGTAGCCACATGCAGCACCCCCAAATAAGTCCATCTGTTATTCTTGTCAGATGAGGAGGCTGACCCCACTAAAAGCTAACTCAGTGGTGACTTCCCTGAAGGATGCTGGGCAGACATCAGCTTGTCCTACAGTCACTTTCTTGTCCTGTGAGCTTTCTTGTTCACAGATACATTTTGTTACTCAAGGTTGCCTCCTGGCTGCACGTGGTAGAACAGGGAGGAAGGTCCCGACATCTTTCTTCAGCCTACTGAACAAGAAGCTCCAGACACCCTCCCCAAGGAGCAGGTGCTGTTATAAAAGTTTTCCTTAGCCCTTAAATTGCTGGTCAGTCCCTTGCACAAGCAGGATAGAGTGGTTGGTGTGATTGTTTCATAGGAAAAAGGAAAAAGCGCAGACTGCAGTCAGGACATGTGGGCTGGCATGCCAGCTCTGCTGTTCAACTGTCATGGGAATTTCGGCTGATGGCTTGAGCAGTATGGGCTTCAGTCACCTGCTGGGAATACGAAGGCCATACGACCCGCTGTAGGGCAAGATTCCTTCTGACTGCAGAGCTCCAAGACTCTCTAAGTGCTAGGGCAAAGAGGGCCCCAAGGTAGGGAGTCTGAGGGGGAGGGGACAGACGGATGAATGTAGGGAGACATGTCTGGATCTCCAGTAGCAGCGGTGTATCAGGGAGCTCTGTCACTGTTCCCAGCTCTATGGCTCAGGCCAGCATCTGATAGTGAAAGTCCATGGTGCTAGCTCGGTTTTTAGCTGTGAGACCTGGTGTTTAGAATCCCATCTGCTCCCTATTAATAAATACATTACAAACATGCATCTCTCCTCCTCCAACAACATGCATAGAAGGAAACTTTGCACATATAGAATTCCACGAGGTTCTCAATAAGAAGCCCCACCAAATGTCTTCCATGAATTCTGCAGACTGATGTTTTGCTCCTCACCCAGTTCCTCCAATTTTCATTCTGTGTCCCATTTACTGTGTCTCTTATCTCATGGCTGATATTAAATGTCCTATTTTCTGTAGGAATATTTCCTCTCCCTAAGGTTCTTGTGGTCCCCTAGTATGAATAGGCTTGTAGCCCTCTAGTTCCCAACTACTATTCTGGTAGATAGTATTTATCCAGTAATTTCTTATTTACAAAGCAATTTCACATCTTATTTATCCTCATAACCTATACAGAAATGTTCTAGTTCCCATTTTCCAGATAAATTGGGCTGCTGCTGCTGTGTGTATGTCCATCTGTGTGTGTATATATATATATTTCTACATGCCTATATATGGGATATATTGGAATATCTCATATACACACACATAGTATAGGTATACTGTATATAAATATACTGTGTGTATATATACATATTTATGTAACTATATATGAAATATATATGTTATATAGTTACATACTCTGGGTATAGGTCTTTTGTCAGATACACATACTATGATTTTTTTCTCCCAATCTATAATTTACATTTTAATTTTTTAATATTTTATTTTGGAGAGTAAGTTTTTAATCCCAATAAAGTCCAATTTATGATTTATCTGTCTGGTTAGTGCTGTCTGTGTCTTCTAAAACTATTTGCCTACAGGCTTAGGAAAGATGGTGGACAAGAAAAACTGCCAACCAGAGTATGTCACTGCAAGAAAGACAGATTTTAGAAGAAAGTAAAAAAAAAAAAAAGGCAGACAAACACAGATCAGATAAGGGCAGAAGGAAGAGTGCTGAATACACAGGAGACTCCATGGGAAGAAGTTGCAGAGAACTGGAAGGAGAAAGGCCCCCGAGAGGCTTGGAGACTAGCAACAAAGGTAGGTGGAGTAGTTAAATTTCCCCTCCCTCGGATTGCATCTCGGATTGCTTGTGGGCTCTTGGGCAGTTGGAGAGATCTGCTCACATCATCCCAGAG